ACACACAGAAGAAGGCAATGGCAAACCACTTCTGGATCATCTGCCAAGAACGTATATGAACAGGTCCCAGTCCGAGAAAAGGATGGAAGGATCCTGTTCATATGGACCTGTCGTCAGACAGAACACTAAATAAATAAAATAATAGATAAAGGCCTAAACTTTCTCAGTAATGACGCTAGACGACAGAATGTTCTAATGTTCTACTTTAAAAATGGTGCTACCATTAGGAAGTTTCAGAATGCCTGGTATCGGTGACGAAAACACCGAAATGACGTAGCACGACGGGTAATATTCACTGTTGTTCGAAGTCGAAGCGGATGGGAAGAGAATAGAGAAGAACAAAGAGGATGAGATAAAGATACGGATGATATAAAGGAAAGGAAGAAAAGACATTTGAAGGAGATACGAAAGCAATCATTTCCCGCCGAATCTCAACAAGCCTTTTCCACCAAATATTTTATAACATTTACTCAGTTGATAGGTGTCATTCCGCGCAAATAGCATTGCAGTCATTTCTGAGACATGTAACGACAATTTTCCTTCCAGAAAAATGGCCGATTTCAAATGTTTCAGACGCCTTTCAGCATCAGGATGAAAGCATTATCACCTAACAAACAGATGTATAAACATTTACATTTAAAAAAAACTATCAGCAGTACAAAGTCATAACGATTAATTAATTACGTACCAGCAACGAACAGAGACCTTCCTTCTTGGGAATTGGTAGTGGCTCGGCAGGACAAGGAACTCCCAATTACTTGTAGGATTTGAGGTTGAGTAAAATGTTTTAACACCTCGCACTCTTATCGGTATAACTATTCACATAGTGACGAAGGCTCTTCAAACCACAAACACGTCTACGATAATTAAACAAAATTAATTACAGACCATGGGCCGATAAATGTTTAAGTCAATTACTGAAATAGGTTATATAACAGGGAAAACGTCACCTATTGTGAAACGATTACAAAGCGTTAAATATTTCAATACTTCTAAGAACTATGCATCAGTCATGACAGAAATACTTAAGCAAGCCAATATGTTACATGGTTCTCACTAGCACATTCCTCACAAAAGGCCACCTCACACCAAATAAAAAGAAGGTTCTCACAGCGGTGAGTATGAATATTCATCACCCTGATGACGGAGGCAGTATGGCCTCTGAAACGTTGGTAAATATCGACCAGACTACACAGCGCAACACCCCAGAAGACAGAAATCTTTATACTCATCGCCCTGATGACGGAGGCAGTATGGCCTCTGAAACGTTGGTAAATATCGACCAGACTACACAGCGCAACACCCCAGAAGACAGAAATCTTTATACTCATCGCCCTGATGACGGAGGCAGTATGGCCTCTGAAACGTTGGTAAATATCGACCAGACTACACAGCGCAACACCCCAGAAGACAGAAATCTTTATACTCATCGCCCTGATGACGGAGGCAGTATGGCCTCTGAAACGTTGGTAAATATCGACCAGACTACACAGCGCAACACCCCAGAAGACAGAAATCTTTATACTCATCGCCCTGATGACGGAGGCAGTATGGCCTCTGAAACGTTGGTAAATATCGACCAGACTACACAGCGCAACACCCCAGAAGACAGAAATCTTTATACTCATCGCCCTGATGACGGAGGCAGTATGGCCTCTGAAACGTTGGTAAATATCGACCAGACTACACAGCGCAACACCCCAGAAGACAGAAATCTTTATACTCATCGCCCTGATGACGGAGGCAGTATGGCCTCTGAAACGTTGGTAAATATCGACCAGACTACACAGCGCAACACCCCAGAAGACAGAAATCTTTATACTCATCGCCCTGATGACGGAGGCAGTATGGCCTCTGAAACGTTGGTAAATATCGACCAGACTACACAGCGCAACACCCCAGAAGACAGAAATCTTTATACTCATCGCCCTGATGACGGAGGCAGTATGGCCTCTGAAACGTTGGTAAATATCGACCAGACTACACAGCGCAACACCCCAGAAGACAGAAATCTTTATACTCATCGCCCTGATGACGGAGGCAGTATGGCCTCTGAAACGTTGGTAAATATCGACCAGACTACACAGCGCAACACCCCAGAAGACAGAAATCTTCAAATAAAAAGAACATAACAGAGACCGGCCCATTATTTGAAAAACTTCTGACGTCTCCCAGACATCCTTAACATTACACTAGTTAATAAAAGCTCTCATCGAGGATTCTGTTACTCTCCGTCGACCCAAACACAATGTGTGATGCAGTTACAACGAGGACTTCATTTCAGACGCTCAAACCTGTAATCAAAATTCAACAATAACAGCAAAAATATGAGCCTACTTTAAAGATACGTGTCTGTGCCTAATTTTCACTGTTACAGATTCCGACTAAGTCAAATTAATCAAATGGTTCACACCGCCTCCATGTTTGTCGCTGTTAACAGAGCTTTATGATACGTGTATAAGACAAGTGGTTCACTATTAATCGCCATAAAACTGAAGGGTAAGAAGACACACATTTTGGGCGACTGCCCTGCTGTTATTTTCAATTTATTAAAAAATTCTACGCGTTTTCCGAATGTATATTGTCGCATACTTCATTACCTCTTCGCGTGGCACTTGCAAAACTCTCACATGAAATTCACACCACGCCATATTCAACTAGAGGCTGTGGGAATGGCATTTAGGCCTGTGGCATTACGTACATATACAGTTTGACAAGTATTCGTCAATTGATTCAAAAGTCATTAGGACGGAATAAATGGACATTGCCTATAAAGGAACGAAAGCAGGCAATAACGTCATTAAACAAAAACTAAGTAATTTATTAACGGATGCTAGACGCCAGGGAGAATCCGACCTTGCCTTGTAAAGGGTTGTGATCGACGTACCGGGATTATTAAACATCTACAGATAAAATCAGACGTATGATAACATACCAGGCGTCAGAAGTGGTGAGTTATGCCTGTCATGCGCGCAGTAAATTAAAGCCTCAAAGCATCAGTGTTCGTACATGGAGTCACATTCTTGCTATTTTGAAAGCTTATGGAAGCTTTTATAGCAGAGAACTCAAAAAGCATCTAGCGAATAATCTTTACAGAAGCAGAAGAAATCCTTTAATACTTCATACACACACACTCACACATTTGGGTGAAATCTTAACGTTCATTTCATCCCAGTATGCGTGAACAGCCCAATCTCAAACGCTATCCGACAGGAACCAAAGCCCACGTAAAGTTCTTGAAGAGTTGAAGCTCTGAACGTAAAGTGTGTGAGAGGCAGGGCAATGTAGAATGAGGACAATAAGGAAATACGAAGGAGTAGGAAGAAGGGAACAAGGAGGAAAATTAAAATAAACGTAAAAAGTTCAGGAGGAGGAGGTTACACAAATGGAAATGGAAAAAAAGAATAAGAAAACGAGGTAAGGTGGAGGACGATAAGATAAAGGTCTAATATAAGAAAACGATGAGAAGAAAATGGAAAAACACAAGAAACGAAGAAGTTACCAAAAAGGAACAAATTTGGTTTTTACGTCACAGAAAAAAATCTTCATCGCCAAGGGCAAGTCCGTTGCTGTCTTAAGACAGGAAGGAATCTTTCCATACAAAGTGAATTATCCCCGGAGACTTGGGTCCCGATGGTAATAATTTACGGCACAGAGCTCTGTTGAAATTTCTATACGAAGAAGGGACCGTGACCGGCGATAAACTTAAATCGAAATTATTGCTGGCTTGTGTCCGAATAGATAATTTTTCTCACCCGTTCCATAGACGTACGAATTTAACTACCAGTAAGTTCACAAATTATTTCTACGGAGTCCCGACAATTGATTAAAAAATCCGTTGATTCAAAATTAATTCTGAGACGAAAAATG